GTATAAAAAAAATAAGACAACAAAAATTTATCCAAACAGAATATACAATCAACAACACTAATAATTACATAAATATTCATAAATTCAATGTATATTCAAACAACATAATATAAAACAAAATCATTTAAAATGTCTGCTTAACTAATAAAATGGGGTGAAATGGATTGAGGAGATAGGGATATTACAAGTAGTATAAAAAGTATAAAATAAAAATAAAAATTAATATACTAGTCCAGACTAAGAGGCTCTAAGGCCGAACTTTTAAATTGGAGCCTGATGCCTTTTTATTAAACGAACTTTTATACAAGTTCAAGACTAGTTCCAACAACCAATATTACATGTAAGTTCAGGCATTCACGAGCCGAGCCAAAGGCCCCTGATTCGTTTACCACTTCCGATCCTCTTCTTACTAGAAATATTTTCTCTACACTCTCACGCGTAATATACCCTCACCACCGGAATTATGCTAGTTCACACATATGAGCGGAGTCTATAGGGCAACGGTTTTGACATATACCTTCATTGCATACCTTCTACTAAATTATCCATCTGCTCGCACTCTCAGACCAAAGATATATGCCATTTGCATACAACCCGCTCAACTTAGATATAGCCTGACTTTGTAGCCATCGAAAATAGTTAGTTGAACTCTTATCTTTCGTACTTTAACTTTTTGAATCCTCTATATATTTACCGCTTCATCCGTTATAGCCATCGAAAATAGTTATAATGACCGTCCATCCCTACCTACTATTTCAATTCATTTACAATGAACTTTCTTAAATTCAATCACTTCAAACCACAAAAATACGTCTTTTTGTTAACATTTCTCATATTGGAATCAATACCTTTTTATCAATATTTTTTTTATCATTATTTTTTTATCATATTTAAGTCAAAGAATAAAAAATAAGGTTATACTTGTTTATTTCAAAAATATAATAATCATTGATACAAATTTTGTGTGGATAAAAATTAAAATATTATTTGTTTCATTCAAATTGTATTTAATTAAAAATATGAAAACTAAACTAAATACTACTAAAAAATGCTATTTGTTCGACGGAAAAATTCCATCAAGAATGGTTAAAATTTTGTCGAAAATGATGTTTTAGACGAAAATAAAGTCGTCGAATATCTCTTCGTTGGTAATAATTTTTTCGACGGAATTAATTTTCATAGAAATTTTTTGATAGAACAATTTTCGTGGAAAGTTTCAACAGAAAAATAATTTCGTCGGAAAATCCTGCAATAATTTTCAACAGAAAACAAATTCCGTTGAAAATTTTCGACGGAAAATGAATTAAATTCCGTTGAAAAATCCTGTAATAATTTTTGACGAAAAATGAATGAAATTTTGTTGAAAAATCTTGCAATATTTTTTGATGAAAAACAAATTCTGTCAAAAAATTTCAACGGAAAATTAATGAAATTCCGTCGAAAAATCTTACAATAATTTTCAACGAAAATGAATGAAATTTCGTAGGAAATTACTGTCTCAATTTTCGACTGAATTGTTTTTCCGTCGATTTTTTTTTTTAATTTCTCTCTACAAAATTAATACCAATTTATGTTTTGCACCTGATAAACAAATATAATGAAAGTAAATAACATATCAAAATCATATGATCTTTAATATAATTATGTGTACAAAAGTCTCTATTATATATTAATGAAAAGAGTCTTATATATACAAAAGTCCATATCATATACTAATCGAAAGAGTCTTATATGTATAAATATCCAAGACATATACTAATAAAAAGTGACATAAATATACAAAAGTCTATGTCATATATATTCAAACAAGATACAAAAGTCATGCTGGTGGATGACCTGCATGATTGTGGTCATCACGTAGATCTCGTCGTCATCCTCAAGCTAAGTGATGAATCTCACATTAGTTGATAATAAACTAAGTGAAATGAATATATAAATGGATAACTCATGAATCAAATGTCGGGCTCCCTTGACTCACTTGATCACAAATTCAACATCATGTCTCATCTATGGGTTTTATAAGAGTTATGTTGTAGGAAAAGTGATTGTGTAATGTTATAGAGATTCGTTTTGCGTGCCGTAATTTCTTTTTTTTTCTTTTTTCTTCAAAAAGCGTGGGCCCTACAAAATATTGTGAGTGTAAGAAAATTTGTTGTGTCATGTTAAATGACAAATGCAAATCCCCTCATCTATTTATATTCACTTCACTTAGTCAATTACCAATTTATGTGACCCATTAGTGGTGGTCTCTCGTCATGGAGTCGGGTGGGTCCAGGGGGAGCCGGTGGCAAGGACAACCACCAATGACACTAGCAAGTGGATATGACATCATCTCTCAACCCAAAATTTTAAGGCATTGAGTTCACGAGTCCTTTTATTTATATGCACTTCACTTAATTTATTATTAACCAATATAAGACTGATCACATTTAAATATCCAAACAGAATCCATTTACTAGCGTTGAAGTAGCTTAGCCCATTAATGATTATTCACCTTGTTAGCATAAGACTAGCTTAGCCGTTATCCCGCGCCGCCAACTCTTCCTTAAACCGCCTGATAATTTAGAGTAGTTATCATCATTTTCCTTTTTCATGTACATATGGGCCATGCATCAGTTGGTTTATTCAGCTGAACCCGTGAATATGTGTCAGACGAAAAGCACCATGAGTTTTGTATTTTTGACACAAGGGACAAAATATAGAATGGGGAGATTACCAATGCTGTAAGGGATCTTAATGTTATTATAGTTATTTTAATAGGTTTTTTGTCCAAATACTAAGACATGTAAATACAAAGTTATGCATTGCCATGTATTCCTAATATGTATATAGCTCATCAAACTTGCGGAGGCACAGAGCGTATCAGCTTCATGCAAAGCCAATAGACATTTTTCTTTTCTTCAATTCAACTTCCACATATGGCTTTCTTCCTCGTCCTAGTCGGTGCATATTCGCATGCCGAAGTTATTACAAAGTTGCATCGATAGTTGTCCTGATAGAGTGAATGCGACATTGCACTGTTTCGTTTATTGCAATTACCGATAACTTTGCTGGGTAAAGAGAGAGGACATGCGCAAGCACGTGCAACTCACATTAGAGAAGTAAGAAGCGTGTGACTATACATTAGTACAAGTATTTATATTCAAGTTGTACATACATCATATAGTTGTGAGTGTGTCTTTTTAAAGATACGGCACTTAGGTATTTTAAAGAATAAAAAAATATCGATGGGTTCATCAATCAATAAGTTAAAGAAATAAAACCAAACTCGAAACCTAAACAAAAACTAATTACAAAAAGCTTTATATAATAGTAAGTAGTACTAGGCTACTAGCTGCTAAAAGAAAATAACAAAAATGGGGGCAATGCCTCGAAGCAATTATAAGTTCCGCCATTGCTTTAATCATATATATTATTGCGAGCTATCCTTTTCTTTTACATTATTATCAAACAAAACTTTTTGCTTCCTTTGTTTCAGTAATTTCTAACGAATATTCTATGATTAGAATTATTTTTTGGGGAAAAAAAAAAACTCATCCAACACTATTAAGCTTATGAGTAGGATGTCCAACGAGTAAACTTTGTGAGTGGAGCAAACTAAACTAATAAAGCAGACACGTACATCATTGATCATCCTTGTCGTGGTTCTCCTTTTTATGTTCCCTTGTTTTTTTTTTTTTTTTTTATATTGTTGATTTGATTACAATTATCAAGTCCGTGAGTGGATGGTAAAAAAATATTTATATTACCTTACCTGCTAGAGAAGATAAAGGAGACTTTAAAAGACTTCTTAATAGTTGGGATGAAATGTAAAATTAAATATTTCAAAGACAAAAAAAAGTTTTCGATCAACCTCTCTATATCTAATGATTCCTTTCATTCATATTGCTGTATGCCATCTGAGATAATGTAATACTATTAAAACCTTCTCTCTCTCTCTCTCTCTCCAGACATTTTTATATCTCATGGTTTAATACTTTTTTTAACTTTTTTCCTTAAACTAGCTTATGTTAAAAAAAAAGGATAAATTTTGTTAATTTTAACATCTCAAAAATTATGTAACAAACATGTGTGTTCAAACAAAATGATTGAATTGGCATGATTTTGACTGTAATTAACAAGCCTAAATTAAGCACCATGGACAAATTAAGCAAATACATTTTTAAATCATCACAAAATGATTTGAAATTGTGACTAATTAATATAGTCATTAGAACCTTTATTATAGTTAAAACTGAAACCGGTCAATTGAGATGTACGGCAATATACACCATGATGGAATGGAATGCTGCTGCAATAATATTTTAAAAGCACTTACTTTTTTTTTTTTTTTGATAACATGGCACTTACTTTTTTATATAAGATACCAGAATACAACGTTGTTTACCCTAACACGAATTTTAAAAAATGAAGTGACACAAAAAAGAGTTGAAGAGATGGGTGGACCCTCCACATACGCGTTAGTCGATGCTTTTTTGTAATAATCTTTGATGAAGACAAAAATATTTGTCACGAAAATCTCTCTCTTATTATCCCAATCGATAGCATCCAAAATAAATAAATGGGCATTTCACATAATCACGTAGTTCCAGTAGAAGACATTTTAAAGTTTGTAATCGATATTTGGAGTTTGGAGCAAGAGTAGAGGTAAAAAGGGCAGAGCCGTTGCAAAAACTGAAAAGCCCGGGATTTTTTTAAACAGGAGAATGAGAGTTAGGTATGATAGTATAATAATATCATGGCAGAAACTAATATAGACACAATTGATTTAGGCAAACAGCAAGTTAGTAACCCTGTTCAAGAAAACAACTAATTGTTGTTTTATAAAGCTGATAAGAGGGAAGAGGGTCTTCCTGGTTTTCTTGTTTATTAATTCCCCCTATTGGCTATTGCATTGCATTTTGCTTGTGTGGTTTAGGAAAACAAATCAAGCCATGGACTCTACTTCCTTTTCATTATTCTTCCTTCTCCTCTTCCAAATCCTAACGCTATCATCAGCAATGGTCTTGGCAGCCAAGAAGACATACATAGTCCAGATGAAACACCAACACGATTCCTCCAAATACCCCACCCACCATGACTGGTACTCTTCCATTCTTCACTCTTCTGATTCCCTGCTTTATGCCTACACAACCGCTTACAACGGTTTTGCAGCTACCCTTGACCCCCAACAACTCCACGCATTGCGCAATTCCGACTCAGTTGTGGGAGTGTACGAGGACACCCTTTACACGCTCCACACAACCCGCACCCCTGAGTTTTTGGGCCTCCAAGCCCATTCGGGTTTGTTGGAAGACCTTTATCAAGCTTCGCACGACGTCGTTATTGGGGTACTCGACACAGGTGTTTGGCCAGAATCCCAGAGCTTCCATGACTCCCAAATGCCCCAAATCCCAACGCGATGGCGCGGCCACTGTGAATCCGCTCTTGATTTTAATCCTTCTCTCTGCAACAACAAGCTCATCGGTGCTCGCAGCTTCTCCAGGGGCTACCTCATGGCCTCTGGCGGCGGTTACATCAGGAAAGCAAGAGAGCCTGCTTCGCCTCGCGATCGAGACGGCCACGGCACCCATACCGCCACCACCGCTGCAGGCTCCGCCGTCGATAATGCCAACTTGCTCGGTTACGCCACCGGCACCGCACGCGGGATGGCACCTCAGGCTCGCTTGGCTGCCTACAAGGTCTGCTGGACAGACGGCTGCTACGCCTCCGACATACTCGCCGGCATGGATCAAGCAATCCAGGACGGCGTCGACGTGCTCTCGCTCTCCCTTGGCGGCTCCCAAGCCCCGTACTACCGCGACACCATCGCAATCGGAGCATTCGCGGCGGTGGAGAGGGGAATCTTCGTTTCGTGTTCGGCTGGGAACAGCGGACCTCGCAGCGGCTCCGTGGCAAATGTGGCTCCGTGGATCATGACCGTGGGAGCAGGGACGTTGGACCGGGATTTTCCGGCGTATGCTATGCTCGGGAATGGGAAACATTTCGCCGGCGTTTCTCTTTACAGCGGAGGAGGGATGGGTGACGAGCCGGTTGGTTTGGTTTATTTTGACGAAAAAACCAACTCCTCCAGCAGCATTTGCATGCCCGGTTCACTCGACCCGGAGATCGTGCGTGGGAAGGTGGTAGTTTGTGACAGGGGACTAAATGCACGTGTGGAGAAAGGTGCGGTTGTGCGCGACGCGGGCGGAGTTGGGATGATACTGGCAAACACGGCGGCGAGCGGTGAGGAACTGGTGGCAGACAGTCACTTGGTACCGGCAATGGCAGTTGGGAGAAGCGGTGGTGATGAGATCAGAGAGTATGCAGCATCTGATCCTAATCCAACGGCTGTAATGAGGTTTGGTGGAACTGTGTTGAACGTGAAGCCGTCGCCTGTGGTTGCAGCATTCAGCTCAAGAGGACCCAATGGAATAACGCCTCAGATACTGAAACCCGATGTTATTGGGCCTGGTGTTAACATCTTAGCCGCATGGACTGACGCTGTTGGCCCATCTGGATATCAGGACACTCGCAAAACCCACTTCAACATCTTATCTGGTATTTTTTTAATTCAATTGCTATAGCTAGACTTCTCTCTATATGTTACCGGATTTCATTGTTGAATTGTTTTGGGGATGTAGGTACGTCCATGTCTTGTCCACATATAAGTGGGTTAGCTGCATTACTTAAAGCAGCTCATCCAGATTGGAGTCCAAGTGCAATCAAATCTGCACTCATGACAACGGCCTATACTCATGACAACACCGACTCTCCTCTCAGGGATGCAATGGGTGAAGCCTTCTCCACACCATGGGCTTATGGTGCTGGTCATGTCAACCCACTAAAGGCCCTCTCTCCTGGCCTTGTCTATGATGCCTCCACCCAGGATTACATTGCCTTCTTGTGCTCCTTGGACTACAACCCCCAACATCTACAACTTATTGTCAAGCGTCCCCAGGTTAATTGTTCTATGAAATTTACTGACCCGGGTGAACTCAATTACCCTTCGTTCTCGGTCGTGTTTGGAAGCAACAGGGTTGCTCGATACACACGCACATTGACCAACGTTGGACCTCCAGGATCTGTCTATGATGTGGCTGTGAACGGACCATCCATGGTGGGGATAACGGTGAATCCTACCAGGCTTGTGTTCCGAGAAGTAGGGGAAAGGCAAACTTACACAGTGAGCTTTGAATCCAAGAGGGATGTTGATGATTCGGTTACGTCTGAATTTGGTAGCATTATGTGGAGCAATGAACAAAGCCAAGTTAGGAGCCCAGTTGCTTTTGCGTGGACAGATTCATGAGGTTGTGGGTTTAATGTACTATTTAAGCCCAACAATGATAGCCTGGAGTGAAGGGGAAAAAAATAAATATATATATATATATATATATATATATATATATATGGAACCTGCTTGAGGCATATTGATGTTGTCATCTGCAACATAACATAAACTGCTTGAGCCAAATTAACCTCAGGTTGAGGGTTATGGTTTTGCAATTGTAAAATCAAGCTGAGATTGCGAGTATAATAACTTAAGTAGTTGCAACCAGACGTTAATAGTTTATAAACTGGCAGGCTCTGTCATAAAGCTATACAGCAGATACACTTAGGATAACTTATTTTAAATTTTCAGAACCCACAAACTCAACCCTGCTCAAGCGCAAAAACAATTTAGTGATTTTTCATGTATCCAAATTCATCTATCTAAATTGCTGTTGAATAATGCATCTAACCGGGCCAGAGATGCAACTTATGACTATAATGTCACTCATCCTTGACTAAGCGGTCAATTTCACAAATATGGAAACACCGGACGGACAGTTTTGCGCTCCTGAACACTGCATGTGCAATTGGTTTAATTTCAATCTCTGTGGTACAAGCGTGTGGTTTAATCAGCAAGTTCTACCGCAGTACATACTACACACGGTCATTTCAGAGTTAACACTACCTTTGAATTTCTACTTACTAGTTATTTCGAAGTGTCACAATCCGATCGATCTTGGGCCTGAATGGCTACTAATCTGTGTACTGAATGAAAAGACATTGCCTTTGTCCTGTGTCCTGTGCCATGTGTCAGTTATGCAGAAAAAGGTGACAGCAATCACTTATTTTCCTGCCGCGCCATTTGATTATTTCATCCATCATCAACTTTCTTGTAGGACCACAAAAATTAAAACTTGGAAGAAAAAAAAATAAAAATAAAAAGCCAAAAAAGAAAACACTTTTTACTTTTCCGTTTTTGGAGATAAAACATTTTATCCTTATCATGTTTTCAGAAACTGGCAGGGCTTCCAATATGTAAAGGAGCCCAACTGGTTCTAACAATCAAGGTGAAAGATTCACAGTGACACTACTCTTCTACACTCAAAAATGGAACAAATGTTGTGCCAAAAAAATAAAAAATAAAAAATGGAACAAATGAATAAGCAGATCAAAGCATGGAATGGTACTCTCAATGGCCATTTTCTACTATTGCGTCTTTTTCATCATTTCACTTGCAATTTTGGAGATTGTGAACAGCAAAGGATCGAATTTATCTGACCCACAATTACAAGCCAAACTATTACATTTGCTTCAAGTATCCATATTGTACAAAATATAACTAACATATATAAATAAACCTTTATATTTCCAAAATTTATACGCTAGCTATTATTATAAATGCAATTTTGAAGACAAGAGCTTCAGAATTTTTATTTTTTTTTCTTTTGGAAAGAATATACTAGCAACATAAACAACCAGGATTCCAACAGGACTCTGTACAACGGCAACGTGAACTTACCTTTGGACAGCTTGGGCAAGAGCAAGTGCAAGTGCATTTGCAACTGCAGCAAGAGGGGCAGGGTGGACAGCGAAAATTGCAACTACTAGGAAAAGTACAACAATTTCCAAAAGCACAACTCTCTTTACAGCAATGTGATTTGGGATAAGAGCAACAACAGCGCCACTTTGGTAAGGAGCAATTGATGGATGGAAGACAACTGCAACTGCAATTGCAGGGTTTGCAGTCACAACAAATGCGTGGTAACTTTGGATGTACAGATAACCCACCGCAGCAGCAGCAGCAGCAGATCCAAGAGAGGTTAAAACAGGGCATGCCACTGCACATAAAAGTTACTCATATTATTCATGATAATTATTAAATAAGGCTTGCTATGATAGAAGTCGTCGTTGCTTCAATAAATGAAATTCAACCAGCTTATCAATCATTGTCTTGTTATATAACTCTGGTTTATCTCAGATACACGCACAACACTGATAGCTGAATATAAGATTTAGCAACATGCCATCATGCTTGTATGATGTAAAAAAATGACAAGCGTGGAAAACAGACTACATAGTATTGCATCAGATTCAGATAGATATGAAGAAATAAGAAGAGCAAGCTGTCATTTGAGCCATAATATGATTTCATTTGTATAAAACATGTTTCATCTATTAGCATTGCAACCAATTTTTCATATTTGTTTAGAAAAAGTGTGTGCATCTAATGAGTTTTGGCTTTTGGGTACATCCTGCGCATTCGTGTTAACTACAGTTTTCGAACTAATAGACTTTATAAACCTCCAATTGAGTCACTACTCAACAGTTGATATCTACACACAAAGTAACAAGATAAACAAGCAGTACCAGAGCCACTTCCAGAAGCCACATGACCGGCGGTTCTTCTTGTTTCTGCTTGAAAGAGAAAGGCATAAGAATAATGATCTCTTTTAAACTAACAAAGTGTGATTGATGAGAACATTTCTTACGAAGGTATCAGAGGATCTGGGTTTGCCATCACATAATCAGCAATCCTGTAATAATATTATTGCAGTCAATCAGAGAAATCAATTTGGCTAGCAATAATTCATTTCATAGTTTCACAATCTAAATGGCATACAAGCAAGACTGCAAATAAACATACTCTTTGCAGCATCTTGAAGCTGGTTGAAGGCCTTCAACAGATTTTAATTCTTCCTGCTAAATGCAAAATTGTCAGTAAATTCGATTTTAACACCAGAAGATGCCGGAAAGAGAGTGCACAAACTTAATTCAACTTGGCAAGTTTGACAGTAGCATCATGGTGCCATGTTATTTGCTGTTTATTCTCTAATATCGGTGATATCTTACAGCCTTAAATATCAGAAAACCAGCAATGTCATCCTTTATTATTGTTTTTAAACAAGACAGTGAGTGCATCATTCAGAATCCACAGATAAAAGATTCTAAGAATAAAAAGACCAAATTTACTTTTTAGGCTTAGTAAATAGTTGGGGTTAGTCACCTTCCTACCCACTGTAATTTTGTAAATTATTGATCAAACTGTTAGCAAGCCTCTGAAAGCAGAAGATTATTGGAAGAGGTCATGAATTGGTTGAAAGTTTCAAAACCTTCTCACTAAATTGAAAAAAATGCAATGGATGCGAGCTGTTATAATTTGAAAGCCTGTCTACTCATGAACCCTGGCAGAGATCACCAATGAACAGAGTACTTATCACTCTCTTTCATGCTCAAAGTTCAGTAATGATCATGAAAAGTCCTTTCCAAAGCATCAAGCAATTTTCCAATTTGCTGTCTCGGATCGTTAGAAAAGACATGGAAGTCTGACATTCCTTATATTTTGAAACTTACACAACATTCAAAGACTGAAAGTTTTGAGGTTACAAAATGGTATGTGACAAAATTAGAAAGTTTAACAAAGAGAGAAACGAGTTTAGAAGTTGAAACCCACCTCAAGAAAAGTTCTCTCTCTCTCCAGCATCTGAACTCTGGCCATTTCACGGCGCTTGCCAAACAAATCTGGGTACTCCGGCGGTGACTTTGGTGACGGTGGAGGCAGGGAAGGAACAGAAGAAGAGCGCACCATGGGAGTGGCCATTGAAAGTTTTAGCAAAGTGAAGGAAGAGAGAGAGGCCACAAAGGTGAAATAGACAGAACAAGAAATGGCAGGAGTAGCAGGCAGTAATAGCAGTAGTCCTTGTTGATGCAGGTAAGGGACTAAGGAAAGGGGCACAAGTAACAGTAATGGTAAGTGACAAAGAAGAAGCGGCAAATGAGGTTAGGTGTGAATACCATACGAAAAGACTGTGGCAGGAGCAGTAAATAGGGTCTCTGACAAGGGATAATTAAGAAAAGACCCAGAAGCAGAAAATAAATAAAAATTGAAACTTGAAGTTGAAGAGTTGAGTTTGAGTGTAAAGGGTTGAACTTGAAAGGAAAGGGAAAAGTAACTGAAAAAAGAAGAAGAGAGTAATAATGAGGGTAGAAAGAGAGTCATTATTATTGAGGACAGAACAAGGCACGAGTGGAAATATTAGTGAAAAATGGGACGAAGAGTGGGACTGAGAATATGATGTTATTTTCTTTTATTTTTCTGATAGTAGAGGGGATATATATGCACCTATTATGTGCATGATAATAATAATAATGGTAAAGGGTATTAATTATAAATAGTAAAGACGGCTGAGAGAAAGCCTGCAACTGTAAGTGTCTGTACGAACTCATTTAGCAAAGTTGAGGGGTTTTTGATTGAAACTTTGAGGTCTAGTTTATAGAGCTCTTAAGTAATGATTTTTTTTTTTCTATTTCTATTTTTTTTTTCTTTCTTTGTGGTGGTGGTGCAGCAGCGAGCACTGAGCAGTGTGGCCTGGTGTGGCAGAGAGCAAGCGAAAAGCACGATGGGAATACCTCAGACCGCACGTGACCGCTGCGTAGGAAAGAGAAATTATTATGTTTTGGTCCTTTTGGATGCCCCTGATCGACCACACGACGAATTTGCCCTGATTTTGAGAATACACAAATCTAAAGCAAACGCCAACCATCAACTCCTTTCTATGTAACCTTTCCCTCAGAAAAAAATATATATATATGTTTAAAAAATATTGTTTTGCTTTTCAATAAGAGCATATTACGATTACGAAAGTATAAATTCCTTGTAAGGATGTTATTTTTTAAAGCAAATAGAGAGTCTAATGAAATTTGATCAGATATTTCTTTCATGCTTTTCTTTTCTGTCCGATTTAGTGTTGTTTCTTACATTCAGTTATTGTAAATAATACCATTCGACTTTAAGAATAAATGTTATTCTTGTGCAGATTTGGTATGTGACGTCTTTGAACACTTGGAAAGAGTAAATGATATCCAATAAGTGTCCTTATCATAAGTTCCAGGGTCATCATCTGCATAAAAAAAAAGTACTTGGGTCATTGACTAATATAAGGTTAATGGACAGTTTTAACAGAAATGTTTGTTGCACTTTTCCTACATTTCTCGTCTCATGCTAGGGGTACGTGATACAAATATAATATGTGCGTAGAAAAGGAAGCAAAATTAGTTTTAATTATATGATAAAAATTATTGAAATATAAGATAATAATTATGTAAGTGCATAAAAAAAATAAAAAAAAAATATGTAAGTGCATTTGTAACGTTTTCTTAAATAAACAAAAATAACTTTTGTACATAACTCCTTTTGAGACAATTCTATTGATAAAATTATAAAACCCCCAAAAGAGAATATATAAATTCAAATTTCACAATATATTTTTTAGGTTTATTGTTTTTAATATTATAAAAGATAAACTTATTTCCTACACACATATAAAAGTGTATGAGATCCATATTTTTTTCTTTCTCTCTATTCTCTTCATGTGGACCTCACACATTTTTATATTTATAAAAGATAAAATTTATTTCCTACAATACAAGAAACATTAAAACTCTTTTTGAACACTTTAACGAACTTTAAGCTTCTTAGCAGTACACGCGTACTTAGCACGAGCTCATTTAAATCTCCTTTTCCTTTATCCAACATGGGTTGGCCTAGTGGCGGTTGGTTAGGTCCCAGGATGAATCCCTGCCAATAGGGGTGTTAACAGGTCGAACCGAGCCGAGCCGAACTTTGATTTTAAAAGGCTAAGTCTGTGTTTAAATGTGTCAGTCTGACCAAGCTTGTTACCTGTTATGAATATAATTATCGGCATGTGGCCTGACTTATTTACAAACTAAAAAAGCCTTATTTACCCTGTTAGCCTGTTTAACAAGAAATAAGACAACAAAATATTATCCAAACATAATATACAATCAACACTAGTAATTCCATAAATATTCATAAATTTAATGTATATCCAAACAGCATAATATAGAACGAATTCATTCAAAAAGTATATTTAACTAATAAAATGGGGTGAAATGGATTGAGGAGAGAGAGAGGACTATTACAAGTAGTATAAAAAATATAAAATAAAAATAAAAATTAATATACTAAGCCAGCCTGAGAGGCTCTAAGGCCGAGCTTTTGAATTTGAGCATGAGGCCTTTTTATTAAACGAGCTTTTATACAAGTCCAAGTTTGGTTCCAACAACCAATATTAGGCATGTAAGCTCAGGCCTTCACGAGACGACCCAAATGAAATGGAAAATGTTCGATACTTGGAATCGGCCATCTAGGGATTAGTAAATACCGTTAACAACACCAACCTCGGAATGGTTGCACACTTTGCCACAATTTTTTTGAGTTCAAAAAAAAATCTCATTTTCCCTTGAGCATAATTATTTTTTTGGATAAGCAAAAGGACATTAACTCCAAACAAAGAAAAGAGAAATAGAAACGCAAGAACCTAACAAGGGAGAGGCACAATATGTTCTCTCCCTACAGACACAAGATCTGCCATGAACAAAAGATAAAATCCATTTGGGGGATCCTCAAAAAATATCCGGCCAGCCTGATCCGTTGAGATTAACAAATAATTGGTCATCCAGCCGACACACATGTTACCTTATCTGAATGAATGTTGAAGATGAACCTCCCACTCTTTACAAATTCATGTACGTATATGAGATAGCAGGCGAACCTCACGGATTGCTGCACCACCTTTGGTGAGCCCAGTGATTGCTAGTAACGAATCACTTTCCAAGATGACTTTCTTGTAACCTACGTTTTACGCCACCTCTAGATTAATAGCCCAGCCTGTAAGCAAAGCCTCTAAACTAGTTGCCTTGAGAATTTCGTAACACACCCCCGCAAGCAGCCATGCCAGGGTTAGCACGCGCTACTCCATTAGTATTAATCTTCATATAACCTTCTTTCGGGAACTGCCAAGATATGTTGAGTTGGCTGTAACTATTTCTTGAGTGGAGACTCGCCAAGCCAAAGCAGCAGCCTCTACATCCAGCACCAATCTTCTAATTACTTTGAGTTTGGTCTCAAAAGGAGGGACCTATAAAGCATCATTTTTTAAAATAAAGGGAAAAGTTTATAAATTTCCTTGTGCTTTATTCTTTTATCATATACACCTCTATGCTTTTTTCTTATCAATTACCCCCTATGATTTTTTTTATCCAAGTCCACCTTTAACACCGTTAATAATTTAATTAATTTGCCCATTTTACCCCTATTAATGTGCATTGAGTAAGAACGGAGTTGTAGCTGCACCATTAGGTTAATCTATTTTCAAAGAAATTCAGTAATTGTATATGAATTTAAAGAGTGGCGAGCCTTTCTTGTGAAGAGCATCATCCGGACTAGAGCCAGCAAAACGGGCTCGGCTCGGCGGACCAACCCGCCCCGCCCGTTAAATGAGGCGGGGCAGGCTCATTTTTGGCAGGCATAGGCGGGCCGAGGCAAGTCAGTGTAAAATAGGCTCGAGTTGGCCGACCAACCGGCCAAACGGGGAAGACGGGCCGAGTTTTTCAGCCCAATTTCAAAAGCAGGGTGGGTCGCCCACTTTGCCACCTCTCATTCGGACTCTTAGCTGTTAGTCTTACTTATTTCAAAGGGGACTACAAAACTATTATAAGTCTATAACATTTCTGTTATTTTAATTTATGAGCCTAATATTCAGTTATTCCCAATATTTTCTGATAGGGGAAGGTTATACTTACAACCTGTTTTTCTTTACAACCTCTTACAACCCATATCTTAACCGTTGATTTCCGTCAATCAACGGTTAAGATTTTTAAAAATTAAATTTATTAATTAATTATTAATTCGCAATAAATCTTAATTGTTGATTGGCGAAAATCAACGGTGTTAAGATATGGTTGTAAGAGATTTTTTTAAAAAAGGTTGTAAGTATAACTTTCCTCTTTCTAATAATATATATATTTGATAAAGTTTTGTGTAAAAAGATTTTTTTAAAAAACCTTCAATAAAGTTTGATCTATAAAGATAGGGTTTTGTTTTTGTGATGTTACATGACAAGAGGCTATTTTTTTACATACTCATAATATATGTGGGGTCCACTAAATAGTGAAGTGAGAAAAAAAATCAAAGATGAGACCCAACTTAGATGTGTGTGTAGAAAAATTGGATTCTTATCATGTAACATGATAAACCATTTTTCCTTAAAGATATGTGTTTATTGTAGTCTTTCATGAAAGGAAGCAGATGAATTATTGATTCATGCTATATTGCTATATCCATTTCATACACATTTTGATAAAATATCAATTTTCTACGTAGACGTCAGATGTGAGAAAAGTTGGCTCCATATAATACCCATCCTTCTGAATACCTGCAATATGTTTTTTTGTGTTTGATCAATGTTGGGTTTATTTTTCCTGCAGTCAATGTGGATAAATTATTTATATTGAGATTTAAATAACGTTATTTTGGAGCAGAAATCAAAGTATTTTTATAATTATAATTTATTTATAGTTATAATAGTCTTTTTCATTATAATTTTTTAATTTTTCAACTCAAGACGATATCGTTTTAAGAGTAAATGTAAATAATTTACTGTAGAAACATTAAATCCTGTGTTTAAATCTCATTTGCAATCCACAGTTTCAACACATTTATACCAAACCCTATTTCTCTGTATTCAATTGCATTCTGAGTGATTGATAATCACCCGTTACCTTATCATGGGACATGTTGGCAGCTCATTGGAAGTAGGTAATAGGATTTGTGATCCAACAAAATCTGTTTATGATTTTCATTTCTTAATGGGAATCATTTCAAACATTGATTGAATGCTTGACTTTGTATTCAAGGATATCAAAAGGAAGAAACCATCCTTATGCTACATTGAATCTGTGAG